CAATTAGGATTAATTAGAAACTTCTATAAGTTTCTAAAAGATCTTAATTATCCTTTTGAAAAGATAAGATTAAAGAGTTTGAAATTGAATAAAACTCCTTTTTTTTAAAGTCCTAATTTTATTCGAATTGAAAGACATTCAAAGATAGACAGATATTTTTTATATGAATCATAGTTTTTATCCAATTTTATATGGTTGGATAGCTCTTGAAATTATCTTTCCAATGATATATTATAATATCAATTTCGAGCTATAACAAAAAAGATATGAATTAAATAAAAAAACTCTATCAAAAACTGACACCATCCCACTATTTCGGCCATATCTTTACTTCTAAAAAATATTTTAATCTGATTCTAATTGGGTTAGAAATTATACTTCAAGATCTTTCCAACGATATCTTATTCATCTTATTCCGATTTCTGGATCAAAAGATATGATAAAAACAAAAACCGCAAAAAATGCAGTATATCGAGTTTTATTCTGATTTAATTCGGATCTTATCTTAATTCTTCGACCCTTCTTTTTTTCTCTATAAATGGAGGTCATATCACCCTTTCATCAATCATTAACAAGCCTGATCATCAAATAATTCTCTTCTCCCTCTTTATTCTAAACACTAGCCTCCCTATTCTTTCATTCTTTCCCCTAATCACTCCAAGGAGTCCATACTTAACCCGAGGTTCCGTCCTTAAACCAAGGCGTGAAAGGTATAATTGACTGAGGGTTTGGAACAAATCATCTCTACTTTTATTTAATTTAATTGTTTTAATTTTATTTATATTTTTATTAAAGTTACTAACAGTTTATTCATGATGTAGCAATTTAAAGGAACGCGCGGAATGTGAGTAATTAATTAATTTAATTACTCTTATTTTATTTTAATATTGCTAGTATCATGATTAGGTTATTTTATATTTGATTTGACTCACATTATTATTGTTAAATTGCTTCCAATATTAATGTTTATTCTATTATTTTTTATTGATCACCATATTGCATGTTTAAAGGGAATATGTAATTGAAAATCACACCAAATAAGATAATTTGGACAACCGGTTTAGGTTCCTTTTTAATCTTGTTAATTAATTCAAGTGATCACAAATATTTTAGAATTATGTGTTGCATTAATATTCAACCAATTTAGCATAATAATAGTTTGGAGCAAATTAAATTTTTGTTTGTATGCCTTTGAGATCGCAGGAATCATTTTTCACTATAAGAATCGAGTAGAGGCCAATACGGGCGAATGTGACTCCATGACTCACTTCGTACCATCATCCCCGATCCTCCTTTAGTGGTTCCGAACCATATGGAGTTAGTAGTCTCATGGATTATGAATGGGGTGTAACCTTCACGGGTCAATCGTTGTTGCCTATCGTTGTCCCTTTATTCGTGGTTGCCTTAAATGATCCATGAACGGTTTACAAGTTCCTTAAAAACTTGTTGGCGGCTCCCTACTTTCCTTGTCCCTAATCGTATATGTCAATTCCCACTTCCTATGAGTGCCAAGCATATTCACCACATGCTTTTAACGTAGGCGCACTTCGAGAAACGCCTACACCAGCTGATATTAAATGTTTCGTATGGGATCGATTATAGGCTTTATAGCATGAAAGTTGCAACAGATCGGTTTCCTTGAGCTATCATTAGTTTCAGTTCTTTCCTCAAATTCTCCTGCCTAAAGAAACCACAAATTTGTTTTACCAAATCCTTATCTTACAGTTTGCAAGAGGAACAATAAAATGAAGTTTCATTCAAACATGCAAGTTTGCGAACCATAAGAAACTAAACTTTAATTATATGTTGCGACATCATCACTCATAAGGAGATAATTATTGTAATTTCTTTCATTAATCCATGTTGTTATCGTCAATTAATACCCAAATACCAATAATTAAAACCAAATAATGTTTTGTTGTTATAATACAATACCATGTTGGTATGCTATCAATTTCATAATTTAACAATCACACTCATTATAAACGAATTTCTAAATAAGTTACAATTTTAATAATAGTACATGGCTAATGATGTCCATTGTGCAAACGTTTCAGGATGATGTCACAAAACTTGTGATATATAGAAACCAGAAGGAGGATTCCAATGAAATCACGGAGTCGAAGCTAGTAGATTTGGATCCACATTCACGCTCAATGAACAAACCTGTAACATAAAATGAATCACGACGTGTTATAAAATGAAAATAATGCAAATCATAATTATCCATCCATATAATATTTGCATTTTCACCTGAATCTATGCTCCCTCTATTTTAAAATAAATGTCCCAATCAAATTAAGCACATATATGACAACACAAAACTTAGATAAAAAAAAAAATCTTTGATAATCGATAAATATAAATTGAAGAAAATTGATATCTAGAAACTATATATTAAGACAGTTCTAACAAATACTTATATACTGAGTAATTATATATTTTTTTCCTTATATATATAAATCACTAACACTGGTCAACATAAATTTTATAAATAGCGCAAAGAAAGTCAAATGGGATATTTATTTTGAAATAAAGAAGTTATAATTTCTTACACCATTATATTATAATGCATACTTTACACATTATATTGTCTCAATTAATTAAACTCAATACATTATACTTAAAGCTCAAAATAATATGTTGAATTACTTTGATTACATATTTATACCAACATATAACAAATGTATACCTTTTAATTCGTAAAACCAACTTCATACCAACAAACATCAATTGTAGATCAACACTAAGTACCAAGTCAATCGCAATTTAATTAACCACGCAATTTACCTTCATAGTTAGATCTCCACAAATGAAGAATATAAATGTTCAATTCATCAATTCCCAACATAAATACATGCTTGTACATAAGTTTGGTTCATAAGACATGAAAACACTACTTTGAAATTTCTTATATTTCTAATTATATTTTTCAATTACATCATAATTAAACACCAACAACAATTTTAACACCAATAGTACTTAACCATTATATTGTATTCTTATTTAGCACTAATTATTCCACAATTAAATAATTAAATATTTATAAAATTACACCTAGCACCTTAAAGCTCAAAATCAATATGTTAAAATACTTCGATTACATATTTATACCAACATATAACGAATGTATACCTTTTAATTCGTAAAACCAACTTCATACCAACAAACATCAATTGTAGACCAACAATGAGCATCAAGTCAATCGCAGTTTATTCGTTACGCAATCTTACCTTTACCATTAGATCTCTACAAAAGAAGAATATAATTATTCAATTCATCGATTCCTAACACAAACACATGCTTGTACATAAGTTTTGGTTCATAAGACATGAATACACTACTTTGAAATTTCTTATATTTTAATTTTTTTTTTCAATTACATCATAATTAAACACCAAGAACAATTTTAACGATTAATAACTAACCAATTTATTGTATTCTTATTACCACTAATTATTCCATAATTAAATAATTAAATATTTATAAAATTACACCTAGCACCTTAAAGCTCAAAATCAATATGTTAAAACACTTTGATTACATGTTTATACCAACATACAACAAATGTATACTTTAAAATTCGTAAAACCAATTGATACCAGCAAACAACAATTGTTGACCAACACTGAGCATCAATTCAATCGCAGGTTAATTCGTTACGCAATTTTATCTTTACAGCTAGATCTCCACAAAAGAAGAATATAATTGTTCAATTCATCAATGATCAACTCTGAGCATTAAGTCAATCGTAGTTTGATTCGTTATCCGTTTTTATCTTCACAATTAAATCTGCACAAAAGAAAAATATAATTGTTCTCTACAAAAGAAGAATATAATTGCTATTCGCAGTTAGATCTCCACAAAAGAAGAATATAATTCTAGTAAGTACATATACATAATTTCACCTCAACTACAAGTCTACAACATGTATTTCTTCCCTACCAACGATATCAATGACTACTTACAATTTTCATTATTATAGATCTACAATTTAGGATGTCATTTCCCTAAAAAATGAAGTTAAATATATACTATAACTTACAAGATGTAGTTGAAAGCTTAGTCCTTGCTCCTTGGATTGATGCTTCTCCTCTTCCATCTTTAACAAATTGATGAATGAATCGATCCTCCCGCTACCAAAAATATGGAAATTATTTGGCTATTTTTTCCTTCTTTTTTTTGGTGTTTCAATTGATAATGGAGGGTTGACTTTTTTTTTTTTCCTTTCTTTCTTTCTCTTGGATTCTTTCTCTCTCTTGGACTTTTTCTCTCTCTTGGAGTCACATGATCTTTTTTTCTTTTACAATTTTGTTTTTCTTTTATTTTTTTTAACATCTTTTCTAATTTATTTATTAGTCCTTACTAAAGACATATTCGTCTCTAGTTGCTAGATGCTGAGACATTCCCGTATTCCTCTCCTTTTGAACTATTCATGACACTTTGATCGGAATATTATTAGACTATTTAATTGAGTTTTTGTTCTGTCAATAGATGACGTTAGCACTTTTAGTTCAGATGCTTATGTCGAGATTGTTGAAACCGAATCAAGTCTATTTTAAATTTAAATTATGTTACATGTGTGATGTGTTCAAACAAATCAAAATTTTAAATCGGAATTTTTAAAATCGGTTTCGGATCGGGCTAGTTTTTAACATTTTAGTTGAGTTATCGACTATTGTACTCCACAGGTGCACATGTGGCTTGATCGGAGTATAACCTTAAAATGATAACAAGCCTAATCGGAGTATTACTTTTAACATGTTAACATCGAACAAAAAGTGCAAATGATCCAAAATTTATGCATGATATCATTATACTTTTAAAAAATTGACATGATATCAGTATACTTTAGTAAAATTGGCATGATATCATAAAGCTTTATCCCTATGTCCTTAAATGTTGAGGTATAAAATCTGATCATACTCCATTATACTTCCTCCGTTCTTTATTACTTGACCCACTTTGACTTTTACACTATTCACCACCTCTTATTTGACCGTCTTTTGTGAATAATATGTAAGGAAAAATATATTCATGTATGATCTTTGTGGATTTGTCTCAATAAGTTCTATCATAATATATAACTTTTATAATTTTTACTTATGGAGAATTTAAGTTATTGATAATTAAAATTTGCATTGACAATCGTGATAAAATAAATAGATCAAGTAAAAAAGAACAAAACAAGTATAAGGCCGGTGACCCGGAATTTCAAATGTGGAAAGTAGTATCTTAGAACTTTCTAATGTGTACGCCATGTGTGAGTGTATGCACGTCTCTTATAGAATTTCCAATTGAATAATATATTGTCATAAAGTCCCTGGTCAAATGATTGTTGTTTTACAATATACGTATATATTTATGTTGCTTCTTATGTTTGAATATCAACAAAGCAGGTTTTATAGTTACATACTTAGATGAGTTACACCTCTATCTTAGCTTGGGTGAGAATGAGTAGAGACTTGGTTTGTCGTAGGACATAGATGAGGATAAAAAAATGTATCCAACACGGCCACATAGAGGTGGTGGAGAAGATGTGATTATGATACTGTACTCGCTAGCCTCAATGCAATACGAGAAATGAGATACTACCTCCGTTTCATATTATTTGCAATGATTAGATATTTTTCTTTTCTACTTTATGTCATATCATTGTAAATAATATGAAACGGGGGTAGTATAAGAAAAGTGAAAACAAATACAGTACATTTTTTTGTAGTATGCATAAGTGACTTTAAAGTTGGGTTTGCAAGTGTTAGAGTGGAGACTGGAGAGCAACTGTTTGTCTAAAGGGGATAATTTTTTTTTATATATATATATTTTTATTTTTTGTTTTTTATAATGAAGTGGGAATAAAATTGCTCATAAATTAACTCACTTTTAAACCATAAAAAGTTAGACAGCGTTTACGAGGAAACAATATCATGTCATCCTTATAAAACATATCATATCAAATCGGTTTACTTGGTCACTATATGTTAAGGACTATTTTAAGGACAACCCCAAAGTTAAGATTGCTATGAGTTAATCAATAATTAGGAACGTTTAAAAAAGAATATCTATATTGGGACTACTAACATCCATTCTTCCTAATTTGTATGTTTTGAACGATGAAAATAAGTAAGGACTAGTTATAGGAATAGAGATATGGATAAAATCATTCCATCAAAATAATATTGGGGAAGGGTGGTATAAAGGATACTTGGATAAAAGACGGTCTATATTTTACCTTTAATGAATTAAAAAAAAAAAAAGGTTATTTATGTGACTACCATTCATCCAAAATTTGTTCCCTTTCTATATCATAATTAATATTTTATCCTTACCCATACAATATTTTCCTACCCTTGTCCCTAATTTATTTTATACCAAACGCCCCATTAATGAAAAGGAAGAGAGAGTGAGAGAGGCTTAATAAGGGTATTTTAATAAATTTGCTAATAACAATCAATTTCTCAACCAAGGAAAAATCAATCAATTCCCAATAATGAATTCCCTAGCTTTTATCCTTATTTCATACCAAACGTTCAATCATTGAACAATATTTGTTGACGTCTACCTTCACTTCAATATAATGATTTGAAATGATTAATGTCCCTTTTAGTTAATCAACTTTTGTTGTTAAAGAAAAACTAATGAAAGGAAAAGAAGACAATGTTTGTGAGAAAAATATTATGAATCAATAGCCATAGCTGTAAACGAATAGAATGTTGAAGAAAATCAAGTATTCTAAGCGTGGTAAAGTGTTAGCACCTTGTACACAAGTTAGCACATAAACAAATCCTAGTTGATGCTATCAGGTTGAGCATTTGTGTATTTAGTGCAGTCAAATGGTCCAATCACCCGTTTCACCTGAAAACAATAACAGAACTGTAAGAACAGTTTCCAAAATATTGCAAACTTAGATCAATCATCTTTTGTCTAACAAAACAGCAATGTTTTCTCAAAAAAAAAAAAAATAGCAATGCTTTAATAAGATATAACTAATTAGTAAGTATAAGAGAAAATATATAGAGAACTTGTAGATCATAAGAAGCTTAAGCCTTTCTTAAGAAAGTGAATCAAAGAATGCTAAAGTCGGCTTTAAGAGAGCCATTGCAGCACGTTAGAGGTGGTAATTCCAATTTCCAAGCGTAGCTTCAATTAGTTATATCTTATTAGGTGGGTAACAATGACTAACACTATGTTTGGATAACAATAGGGAAGGGAAAGGGAGGTGAAGGAAAAAGAGGGAAGGGAAAGGGATGTGAGGGGAGGGAGAAAGTGACATTACATTTTCCTTCCAAATCTCTCCAACAATGGAGGGATTTGGTTTATTAAAAGGGGAAGGAATATGGATCCTCCCAATTCCCTCCCCTTCTCTCCTTACATTAGGTATCCAGACAAAAGATTATGCATCATTTCTTTTCTCTTCTCTTTCTCTCCCTCCATTTTTCTCAATCCAAACATAGTGTACGTTGCAAAAGAGTTTAAAGAGGTGGAAGATTTGGGTTAGTTTCGTGCATGGAAAGAAAAGTTTCCAAATTCTATTCTTCGCAGTTTAACCAAAGCAACAAGGATTTTTGAGTTATTCAGAGGCTAGTGAGGATTGTTCGAAAAGGAGATTTTAAAAGACAAGAACACAATGGTCTAGAGCGATACCAAGAGGGGCCTAGGTCATGAAAGGCACCGCACCATGAGATATACATTATACCACCTTTGATGAAATTAAAGAGTCAAGAATGAATGTTTCCTGTAAAGCTTAAAAAAACGCTCTATATGAAACAAAATGTGCAATTATACTGTTATAAGGACTCAAATTCTTTATGATGAGATATGCTCTTCTCCTTGCAAAGAGGTTTGGCTTCAAAAATGTTTGGGTTGAATCAGACGCAATCAATGTGATCAAAGCCATTATTTCGAATGTCCGGGTCTTTCCCTTATTCATGTTATTTTTGATGATATAGTTTAGAATTTAGATAGAGCCTGGTTTAATGTTTATTTATTTTCACATGCTAAGAGGAGTAGTTGTAGAACTTGCTCATCTCAACTCCTTTCCCCAAAGCATTGTTAATTTAGTGGAATTGGACCTTTCTTCGTAACTAATAATAGCTCTATCTTTCCTTTTAAAAAAAGGACTCAAATTCTTTAATGGGCTGGCACAAAAATTGACCTTTTAACAAAAATAACTTTCCATGTTGGAGGGTTTGTCAGCTGTTATGACCTAAGTTACAAGTCAACATTATGCTGCCCATGAAGATCTAAAATGCAGTATACCTTCTAAAGGTTCACAATGGCAAAGTAAAAAGCTGCAAGTCTAATTTGTTTAGAATCTTGTAATCATGATCAGGCTATTTCTTAGAATCTAGATAATTGTGATGACCAAATGATTCCAGAGATCTCTTTAGACACTGATTTGAATTCTTTGATAACAAATAACAATCTTACCTTCAAAAACATAAATTGGCAACAAGTTTTTAACTCAGACATTAAATGGTAAGAATGCCTTATAATTCATTGTGAATTCTGCAAAGCTAGACTCATTTTATGAGGATACATGTGCCGGTCAATGGTCACTAAAACCTAGAGTTGGGGTTTATACTATTCTAAGTCTTTACAAAAAGTTTTCAAAATAATAGAATTTCGAGTCAGCTTCAAAAGGAATTAAGTAATTTAAAATGGATTATTCAATTCTCTCAATCAATCAATATCAGATCATTCTCCCATACATCCATATGGGCGAAGCAACTGGTGGTAGGAGTAGACCAGTCAGGTTTTAAAAATTACATCATTTACAACGAAGACCACTCTCAATATGAAAAAGTAGTCTTTTCAGTGAGTAAGCATACAATGGTACTGACAAGTACCAGATATGGCACACATTAAAAATTCAGTTTACATCTTTGCATATAGAACAATTTTCAGGTATTGGGCAGAGAATAAATCAGGAAACATCCTCACCTACAGTTTAACACTGGTCAAATAATTTTGCAGTCTAAGAAATATGAGGAAATGGCTGAGAGAAGAAGAATTTGCAATTAAAACAAAAATTGAGAGTTTTGTGCCTGGTCCTAGGTGACTCCGACTATCAATTTCTGTACAAGACTACAATACAAATAAATAAAAATTGGTAACAGTCAAATTAAATTCCTTTGAACATAAGGTGTTAAGCTAACTACGTGGGTGTTAGGGATGGAATTATACCCTTCTGTACACAACTAATGAGTCATCAGCAATTCAGCATACATTTTGCCAATGATTGGGTTTCTGCTTGTCAACTTCTGCCAGGATTTAACACTTACAGAATTTGACCAAGCTTTGAGGAGAAAAAGATGCAAAAGCACCGGGGTTTAATGATTACAATTTACAAGTCATAGTTTCATGTTTTTAAGGTTCAGTTGCTTTAGTAGTTTAGGGTGACAGAGCTGCATTGATCAATCAGCCACGGGATTAAAACAGATCAAGCAAGAGCTAAAGCATAGAAAGTTGTGCAGGCATTGATAGATTAGTAGTTTCATACTGAGCAATTAGGACACATATGAAGCAAAGCACCATGTCTTACACCTACTCAATTATATTGCCGATGGATTTAGATATCATCATTTAACCATTCAAGCCTTATGTCTTTATATTTTCATCAATATTCAAATAAAGAGAGGCAACGATCAGGAGACTCATACCGGTGACCATGGACTAGGTTCAAGTGTTGACTTGTCAGGAGGCGAATGTTTTACAGGACCAGTCTTCAACGTTAAAATTTCCTGCCACAATGAAGCAGCATTAGGATAACATGAAAAACTGAGTCGAGGAAGGATCAAATAATAGAAGACAAAGAACAGTCTAATTGCTGTTTCAGATACATCAGTTTAATTCAAGTACAACTGAGCTCTGGAAACATGTCAAATAAATCCTACGTTTTACTCAGCTTTCTACAGACAGCAGGGAAGGAAAGTTAAATGTTCTATTGAGCTTTATTAGTGTTTTGCTAACATACTCTCAGAACAATTTCTTTTTATACACGATATATACTAAAATATATGTAATTTTTATTAAATTATATTCAGTAAAAGTGTCAAACATAGGACTCAATGTAAAAAGTCTAAGTCAATATAATAAATGAAGGTCCCCCATCTGGAAACTTGTAAAAGACAAGATAGTGTTAGATTAGAACTATGTCCAATAAATTATAAGATATTACAGAAAACTTATGACAAGCTAAATGGATTTTTTAGGAACAACTGCATAGTGAAACATGTAAATTAATAAAGACAAGTGTTTCACTGGTCTGAGTGGTCCACATGACTGAGATAAGTAGAGAATTTTTCAAGTCTAACTTTCTGATTAAAATGGTTTACCTCTCCAGCAGATTCAATAACAGCAAGCCACTCATCTGAGAATGGAACAACATTTGGCGGTGGTCTCGTTGACTTTTCGTTTTCTGTCCTCCTGAATATTGGACTAGTATAAGACACTGAACAACTTATGAATAAGACATCAAGAACTCTACAATACTTACTGTTTTGTAGCTGCATCCTCGTTATCTATAACTTCACTACTGCACGTTCTTTCATCAGTTCTATTCTCTACATATTCAGAAACATTCAACCTAGCTTCCCTTGGTGAGAGATTGCAGTCATTGCACCCTTGTTCATCTGATAAAATGCACTCATCAAAATTTTTTCTCATCAACACTTCTTTAGGTGACATTTCATCGTTATTTACTGGACATTGATATTCTTCTGGATCAGAATTGGCTACAGCAACTACCAACTGATCCTCGCATCTCAATCCTGATGATTGAAATTCCAGATGAGTAATTTTAGGAGTAATTTCATTGCCGTTGTTGGGAAGACTGCTAAGCAAATCAATTTGGTCCTGCACGTCCTCTGTGTGGTTGTTAGATTGACCTATTCTGTAAGAACTGTCTTGTGATACGGTACTATGATTCAAGTATGCCTCATTTTTCTGGAGAGTCATTTCCTTGGCAAGCAATTTTTTATTCAAGTCCTGCTGCTTGTCTGCCTCAGCATCTGAGTCTTCAGAAATTTCTGTGTCTTGATTACTAGCTACTGAAGCACCAAGGACAGAAGCATAATTACCAGATATTCCACATATAGAGGACTGGGATTGTCCTTCACCTTGATCTGAGTTGGCCAAATGATCACGTTTAACAGGGACTTTATTCAACATTTCTGGTAAAGTTGAAGCGCAATGACTGGACATCTCTGCAAGTTCCACATTCACAGCACAACTGTCTTTGGTATCATAACTTGTAGAGTTTGTAGAGGTTATCTGCTGCATATCATGGTTCTCAATTTCTCTGTCTTGCACTTCTGAACTTTCACTGAGGTTCATGGTTGGCGACTTGCAATAATATAGTACTTCATCTTGTTCATCATCTACAAGTTCAAACTCTGAGTCACCAGCTACACTGCAACTTGCATTGCAGATTCCTGTTACTCCACTACAATTGCTCTCAGCCATAACATTATCTGTGCAAACTGAAACAGCAGAGCCTTCCTCAACCACTTTTATCGCAGATTTGTCATTTGCAAGCAAATTTCTTTCAGAAAACTGCTCCTGCGTGCTTCGTTGACTGTTGGTTTGATCCAAATCATTATCAGATGTTCTATTATCATCAACAATTCTGCTTGATGTGTTGCTATCAGGAGCCAAAATCAAATTGTCGTAATGACTAATTGAATTGGTTTGTGGTTCAAGTGTAGCATCATTGTTCATGGCTGTTGAGTTGACTTCCACTTCTAATTGTTGTGATTGAACTTCTGCATTTGCTTCACAAGGTTTAATAAGTTCAGCTTTAAGGCAAGACTTATGGGACTCAACCAGCATACTTCTACCAGTGGTTCTATTTTCTTGTAAGAGAATGGCATCTTTACAGCTGGGTTCCTCAAATTCTATATTAGAGCACACTGATTTGTTATCCTTTCTATCCTTTTCTTCAACCTTCGAAGAAATAGACACCTGGCCTTCATATTGTATTTCAAATGTGTCAAGAAAATCATATCTAGATTGCTCATCCTTTGTCGATTCAGAAGTTTTGTCTCCTAATAGAGTTTTAATGTCAATTGCCTGCTGATCGCATTTTTTTTGTATCACGTCAGAATGCACTTTAGGGGCAACAATTAATGAAGTTGTGCATTTCTCTGTCGTTTGTGAGCACAGCCCTACTTTTCCCATTGTATCAACATTAGGGGCTTCATGTGATAGTTGTGTACACTTGAAGTCATGGTTACGATATGCAACTTCAGATTTTCTTGAAGTTGAGATAGTAGACTCGAGGAGGTTAGGCACCTTACTATTAACCTGTGATAAGGTATTTGAAGTAGGTGCCTTTGTCTGCAATGAATTAGAGTGCAAAGTTAGTTACATAAAGGTTCAAGAGCACTTTCATATTGAGAAAACTTTTATTTCTAAAAGCCTTGAACAGGAATGCTTTTTAGGAACCTTATTTCATACCTCACTAAAGAATCTAAGGGATGGTGACGGCATTCGTAATCCCGATGGTTTTATTCCTTGAACTTGTACATTTATTCTATTAAGACCAGCATTATCAAAGTGAACATGGGACAAGGCTGCAGTGTTACTTGTTTCATCACTGGACTTGACCACGTCAGCCACACCACTCAGAAGACCCTGACATGAACTGTTTTCAGAACATTTGCTTACTTTGGTGGTGTGTGGAGCTCTGTGACTCATCAATGAATGCCTTCGCAAAGCTGAGTTGACCTATGTGGAAAATTATGCTCACACATTAAATGTTAAAACTCCTATAACTTATAAATCAATGCTACTTAACAAAACTATTACACGTCATATTCTCACCGCATCATTTCTCAAATCAGTAGCTTGCTTATTAGATTTGGATACTGACTCCAAACTAGATTTTGCAGCATTCGAAGCATGCTTGAATTTTGATGATACTTTTGAGCTTAGACTTTTCCGGGCTGCAAGAATGGGAAGAAATAATGTTAACTTCAATAGTGAGGTGGAGAAAGAAAATATGAAATACGGATGGCCTAGATGATTAAAATATAAAAGAAAAGGGAGGCTTGTTGTATATCATAACAAAACTGAAAACGTTTAAAATCATGCAAATGTAGAGATAAAACTATGAATCTCAGACACATAAAATTATATGTACCAAGCAAAAGTAAATATACCTGGTTGAGGGATCAAGCTGCTTCCACCTGCTGCACTATGAATAGTGGTCATGGAAGGCACAGAAGAATTGTTCTTTGGAACCGAAACTTTAGGAATTTTCGAGTTTCTTGTTGACATTTGTTTAGTTCCTGTATTTGAAAGTCTCTTCTGAGTAACATATTAGTTAAGGACTACTATTTTTGCACTTTTAATGTATGATATAACACAAACACAGGCTCTTGTAATAAAGCACTTTAAGGATATGAAATAGAAATCATTGGAGAAAAGCAAACTTCCCCTTTACATACAGCCTTCGTAAGACCATGGCTGGGAGGGGCAACCTTTTGTGTGGACTGTAAATATCAAAATACAATAAACAATTCTTTAGGATGCACTCAAGCAAGAATATATCAGAAACAATGCAGGAAATTAGAGACTGACTTTGGAAGCTGAAGTTAGACCACCGCTGCTTATGGAATCCCGCTTCATGGGTGAACTACGAGTAGCATTTCTTTTGTTGGGGTAACCAGATGGCAATTCTTTAAAAAGATCCTCTTCAAGAGTTTCCAAATTCGCTGTGCTAGAGTTCGCAGGCATTGAATCTTTTCCATGTTCATCTATGACAGAAAGATTATCTGTACCATTTATTGTTCCACAAATCAAAGATAACTCTGAATCATTGAGCACACCTGAGAGAAAGACCAGTCAACTTAATTGTCCAAAAACAATCTCTTGTGAGGTAAATATAAAAAATTCAACCTTTGAGGCAACCCAATGAATACCTTCTTCAGTGAGGAAAGCCCTGTCCCAAGCCAAGCTTTTCCTCAAATTGTACCCACCAGCCGTTTTGCTCCTCTTCATTTTGTGTGGTTTAAGTGTTTAACAATTAAATTAGGCACTCCTAACTTGTTTTCATTATCATTGAAACTTTCTTTATTGCTGTAAGTTGAAGCACTCCCATGAACTTGGCTGCTTGTGTTGCCTTCTGAGCCTGCAACTAAGATGAAATGAGGCAAATTTATAAATGAACCACCCCATTCTAAATTTACATAATTTCAATTCAAAGGGCTTTCACAAGCTTCCAAACATCATAGCAACAAGTATTATACCAACATAAAATGCAATACAAGTTTTTTTTTTTTTTTTTTTTTCGCAAAAAAATACTCTCTACATAAGCGGCATTGAACTATACATTTAATCAGCAAACAACATATCATATATAGTCAGATTTAAAACCAACTAGACTGATGGTGATCAGGAAGAGGGCAATATACCATTCATTTACAAGTGTGAGAAACAAAAATTCTGAGTAATTTTCCAAACCAAAACAGTAGATGTGGACAATCATTTATCTACGTTGTGTGAGAAACAGAAATATCAGGAATTTCCCAAACTCAAATGGCAGCTGATCAATATATAAGGCTCTTCTATAATATATATTACCTTGAACTTGTGTCTAAACCACAAAACCGACCTCACTAGAGTCTATGATTTGTAAATAATCATCAAGAAAACATTTCCACAAGAAAGACTTAACTTTATATTAGAGTGTATAATTTCCAAAATCCATTAATGAACACAAGTTTTTCCATCTTTGGTCCTAAGAGGCAGGGGTCTCCATCAATTAAAAAAAAAATCATGATAAGGTTAGAGCCCAAAAGAGTTTTGATGTCATTTACTAAAATACTTCCTCCGATTCAAAATAGATGCTACACTTTAACCTCTACACTAAGGGCCTGTTCTAATAGACTGAAATCAGTTGAACTGAACTGAACTGAGCTGAACTGGAATGAATATTTTATAAGAGAAGGAAATTAGGAGCTGAACTGAACTGAACTGAAAATAAATGTATAAGAACAGGCCCTAACTTTGACCTTATATTTATCCTAATACGATTAACAAATGAGACTATGTACAATGCAGTTGGATCAATCTCAATTTGTACTAACTGAATGTCAAAATTTTACAATTTTTACGTAGATAATTAGAAATATTAACAATCAAAGTTATGAATTAGCACAAGTCAAAGTCAAAACATAGCATCTATATTTAACCTCTACACTAACTTTGACCTTATATTTAGAAATATTTACAGGAAGTTAAATTTTAGACAACACTTTCAATGTTGTTCACCAGCATGCTTGCAGCTATGTGATTTACATTGCACATTGAGTCTTGATTGATAAATTCATTAACCGCCGAATTTCATCATAGAAATTACGATTATATTATCATTAAAATATTATCATATAACTAGATATCTAACAAAATCCTAATGATTATATCATCCCATATTTTCCAGATAAATCTGTATTGAAAGTATGACTAAATTTCTTGTGTAACATACAAATTCTCATAATTTTCTGACAATTTGACTATTTACAACATCAAAATAAGTGTCTCATCTACAATTGTCAGGAAAATATATATCGATTTTCCAGATTACTATTCAAAAATCCAATATTTAGTTATTCATTTCACTTTCATGATCTCTAATCCAAATTTCTAGAAATGTAATGCAAAGAAACTAGTACTACTCCGTAATAGATTACTAGTTGAAAATAAAATCCCTAAACTACATAAAATACCTCAAGTTGGGCGAAATCAGTCAACATTTCCGCAAAAATCAACATCAAACATGAACAAATGAATTGAGGACATTATGAAACCGAAGAACCCTAAAACTAGAGTAGTCAAAATGGAAAATGTAGGAATGAGAAAAGTAACCTTGAGAGAGATAAATGCAGAGAATAATGGCGGCGGAATGAGAAGATGGTCGGAGAAAAATGACGGCGGCCGGAGGTTGTTTTTCCGGTGGTGGTAGACTGAAGAAGGAGGAATCGGCTATGAAGATGGAGAATAAGCGGGATTCAGAAATCAGAGGTTCAAATTTTGGTTCACTTTGAAATTCCGAAGCAAATAGTAGAACCAGTTTGTTTAAATTATTGAGGCGGGATCAGAGTGACCGAATTTTTAAATTAGTACATATGACTAGGTTAGAACCGCACATTTTAAATAAAAGCTATTTTTAATTTATACATTTTAATATAAATCGCTATTATACATGAATATAAATAAGAATTACGTACATTTTGTAATTTAAATTTTTTTATTTTCATCAAAACTATGATTTAGTATTTGTTCGACGCCGTCTAATTCATAGTTCAATATAGGAGATCGATTGTTAGTGTGTTATTAAAAATTGTTTCAATTTTCTACAATAAATTGGTAGGTTTTAGTTGTAAGATAGAATCTTCCAATATTTAAATTTCAAAAAATGGTAAATATGATAACTCTACAAAAAAAATATGACATCACCATTGCATTTAGGCGAAAAAAATTTTATCAATAGAATGACACGTGGGCAGTGATCTGACATCATCTTCTGTTTTAGTAATAGTTAATAGATTAGGGTCGATCTTAAAATCTTAAACCAAAAGAGTTAGGGCCTGTCACATTTACTGAAATGAGTTGAACTGGACTGAATTGAACTGAACTGATTGGAGCTGAAATGAATATTTTATGAGAAAGGAAAATTAAGAGCTGAAGTGAACTGAACCGATTAGAGCAGAACTGAACTGAACTGATTGGAGCTGAACTGAACTTAAGTAAATGTGAACAGGCCCTTAGTCTAGTTTTTGAAGTGGGAAGTTTAAATTTTTACTTTTAGTTAAGAATATCCATTAGGCTCTGTTCTTTTCAGTTTAATATCAAATCTCTTCACTTTAATTTTAGTTCTTGATTTCCTTCTCTCATAATCAATTTAATTCAATTCAATCCAACTTAGTAAATTTGAACAATCCCTTAGTTATGATTGAAATTTTAACTATTTTTATTTAATTTTGCTCAAATCGTCTATTAGTCATGAGATCAAGTGACATTAATCCAATAGTTACGCATGGTTTGTTGATAATTTTCATAACTAGCGTTCTACCCTGTGCAATGCACGAGTTATTTATAGGTATATAATATAAATTTATAATATGTTATTATTGAAAAATGAATATTATATAAGGAAGGGGTAAAAATTGAATGTATTTGTAAAATATACAAATAAAGTTTATTTATTATTTTTTATGATGAAAAATATACAGATTAGCCTAATGTGTATGTTATATGTATAATGATGATTTGTGTTTTTTAATACTCAATATAAAAGTATAGATATAGATTAGTCTAACGCATTTGTTCAAAAATACATGAATCAAGGTATATATATATATATATATATATATATATATATATATATATATATATATATATATATATATATATAAATCGGAAGCCAAGCTAATCACTAAGGATTTTCACTTTCTTAAGAATTGCTTTAGGATTAATTTAATCTTTTGGAATCCTAGGCATGGGATGTATGCCTTATAAATATCAAATTAAAATATGGCCTTGTTAAGATTATAAGCTCGTGTTACTCTGGGTTTATTTGGCCAAGCTTTTAGAAACTATTACTAGAGAAACACTTGCTTGGCATAATTGATAATGAGAGAGGAGAGAAAGAGAGGACAGAAAGAAGAGTATGATTTTTTTTTTTCTTTTTAGATGGGATATTGTATGTCTTTTTGTAAAATGTTAGGGGTGTTTTTGTCAATAAAAAAAATTTCATTAAAGAGAAAAAACTGCTCCCCGAGAAACTGTATTTGAGAAGCTTTAAATTGGTGCTTCTCATTCTAGCCTCTCTAGAAGTTATTTTGGGCTTCTTGCAAAAGTGTTTTGGTTTCTAAAATTTTCCTTGTTTGGCCCAGTTTCTATTTCTTGGGTTGAGAAACACTTTCAGAAACTAGGCCAAACAGCTCCTTAGTGTTTGTTGACGAAAATCAATCAATGTCCCAAACTTTTGATTGCAATATATTAAAGGTTATATCCCATTCAAATCAACATCAACATCAAATTTGTAGAGTTAACCCGATTTTTGTACATATATTATTTTGCTTTATTCTCCCTCACTACAACAAAAGCTTTTTCGTCAATTCTTTTTTTGAATTTGAATATTTTCACTAAAAGTGTTGTGTGGAGAATTGTTTGGTCTATTGATTAAAACCATGAGTGGCCATGGATGAGAGATGGTGTGGAATGATTTTCTACAAAAAAATTTTTTTACTCAGAGTACGCTCAGGAAAAAAAAAAAGTAATAATAGGTAAGATAAAGGTTCCTGCCATGATTGGAACCATCATAGGTCAACCCTTGATGCCCCGGTGATAAGTCGATGCTACTAAGCCCAGCTATTATTACGATAGTAAGGTTCAGTATAATGTCCCTATGCAGGTAAGTACATCATAATGGATATATTACTAAACATGAAGTATAAAACAATGAAACCATGTTATAACATACAACATTTTTTTTTCTTGGTTTTGACTTTTGAGCCTAGTTGTTAAGAGGGATGCATTACACCATGGAAAAAATAAAACTTAAGCTTTCAATAATGTTCATTACTACGTTGTCATGCCCACTCAAAATGATAAAATGAAGATGAAATTTTACCCATAGTAGTAAAGGAACTCCAAAAATTATAATCAGCCTTCTGTCAAACCCTTCTGTCAAACTAGTCAACAAGAATAAAATACAGAGCTACCTTCATCCTTTGCAAATACTTTCGCTAGATTACCAAAATTAAGCAGTACCAGCTATATCTACAAATAGCATGATCAGCCGGTCAGCCCTTCCTCTTATTTACGATACTCCGTCTCTCCACCTCTTTCTTAGCAACTTGATATTTATTTGTTATTGCTTGATCACACCTTTTATGCATGTTTAAAGGGAATTGGTACTTGTAATCACGCTTATATAAGATAATTAATAATCTTGTTTAGGGTTAATGTGATTATAATTCAAGTGTATCGCCAATAATAGATTTGTTTGTGCATTAATATTCAACCAACATAGGATAAACAGGTTTAGGGTTAATCCTAATGATTGCATGTTAGTCAGAAAGCGCACATAAATACGATCAGAATAAAGTAGAGGCCTATTATTAGGGCAGGTTCAATCTCTTTTAAGTTGGATTTCTACCTTCATCCACGAACTTCCAGTCATGATTCCAGACCTATTAGAGTTGACGATCTCCTGGATCGTTAAGCAACATAGAACTCTGCCCCAAGCATGTCGTGAATGTCAAGATTCAATGAGGTACTCAAATCACACAACTCCAATACAACTTCAACATTTCTATTGAAGCCCAGAACGGCCAAGACTCGAACAACATTAGCAATCCTGCATATGTTCTGCCTTGTTTCCAAGGGAGTGTAATTTTCATCGAGATTCATTTTGCTAATGGAATTTGCATTGGTTTTCTCAGATTCATTCACATAATCCATTTCCATATTGTCTTTTTCTACAGTGAGTTCCCCAACCCAGACATAACCATTACAACCAAGTATTAAGAGAACTCCATACTGATCTAACTGGTGGATGTGCTACTTGCGTCTTTCCACCAAATAGGAATGGACAATGATCAATTGACCCCTCTCAAGCTGCATCAGCAAGCATCAAGTAATGAAAACAAAGTAAAAAAGAACTTGCTGGTACTATTCCTAAAATTCAGGGTCCTAATAATTACAAAATAAAGTGTAACATGTTCTTGTTTCATTCTATGTTGAAGCAATTACAAATGAACATAAAAGAAACATTAACAACTACATACTTAATCCTTCTATGCAGCATAATATTCTAGAAATGGTGATTTGAATCACTAAGCACTAAGATGAAGACCTAAAATTTTTCAAGGACAGGAGAAGGCCCAAATAAAAGATAGGATGTTTCCACAAAAACGAAGGGAAAGAAAAAAAAAGAAAGAAAAAAAATGATGCCACAGCTTTCCATTATTGCTTCCCACAAGTCCCTTTATTACTCTCCCTTCCTGGAAAATGACTTTATATATACCCAAATTCCCATAACAATAAACTAGAGACGTTAAGGATGATTGAAGAATAGAAAGCTTGAAAGTTGACTATTACGAACCTCAGCCTGTGCGGAAGGCATATAAATATAAAAAAAAAAAAAAAAAAAGAAATTTGATTACTTGAAGTTGTCATACACCAAAGAATTAAACAGCTGAAAAACCAAAGAAACTTACAGAAATAACATCATTCTCTACAAAAATATCACTCATGTTGAGTTCATCAACTGTTATACGCTGCCTCTAGCAATGACAACAAACTGAAGATTAAATTTTACCATGTTGATTTCAGAAAGCAAACACATATATAGATGAGCACATCATTTTTCAAACAAAATTTACAACATTGACCAATCAACTATGACTATGGTTCCTGTAGGGAATATTTCAAGCATACCCCAAACTTGAACCCTATTGTGATCATACACTAAAGTACGGTGCCGTCCAAAGGAAAAGAAGATAGAGCAAAAGAGTCGCCAACAAGTTTTAGGAACTTGTAAATCGTTCACAGGGTGAAGGTTACACCCCAACATAATAATAATCATAAATCATAACAATTATAATAATCACTATTATAATCATAACCAAAATAATCATGTTAATAATAGCAAGATCCTAGGCATGATACTAACAAGATTAATAACAAACCCTAGCATGTCACTAAACATCAAAGATAAAATATATAGCCCTAACATGATACTAACATGAATATTAGGAAGGAAATAGAAAGCATCGCAGGAATCACAATTGTCATATTTGATATTAGAAATTATAGTTATTACCCTAAACATGATATTAGGAAGATCAAAACATCCTAACATGATTTCTAAATCATAATATCAATACATCAATTGAAGCACTTACTTGAATTGGATGCCTCGTATCTCTTTCTAATAACAAAATACACACGTTAGTAACTTCAAGGAAAATAATAAAATCAAACAATTAAATTAAATAATTGAAATAGAGATTTGGGACCAAACCCTCAGAAATTAAAACCTTTCACGTTTAGGGCGAAGTCAACTTCGAATTTTGCTAGGTGTGTCTAGATCTTGTGAATGCGGAATTTTGTATGCAAAAGCTAAAGAGAGAGAAATCAAGAGAATCTTGAAAACTAGAGAGAATAAGAAAATTAATAGTTTTTTTATGATTATTTGATGAGAATTGATGATTTTTTTGATGATGGAAAACAGAGGTTTTTAGGAGGCTATTTATAGAGAAATTAGCCGGATGGATAGAAAAACGAATCAGAGTTTCGAAGAGAATAAAACGATTTAGCTCTAGACACCAGACATTAGCGCCAGGCGCTAAGGCTAGCGCCAGGCACTAATCCTGTCGTCAGTCACTAGAAACCAGCTTCATGCGTTTTCTTAATTTTGATAAAATTTAGCCGTACAGAAGGGAAAAATTGTATTTTCCTTAAAAACACTTCTTTTATTCTGATTAAAACTCTAAAAAGTTAACCAAAGTCAATTTATCAATACTAATTAAATTAGGAATGAAAAGAATCTTCTAGAAGAATCTAGAAGACTAAAATCAATTCTAATTGCATTAGGAATGATAAATCAATATTAGGCCCTCCTTTAGATCATTGGGCCGCATATAAAAATCAAACCGGGCCCAGTTTAGTAATTTGACCATAACTTCCTCATTACTCTTCGGAATTGGGCTTATAATATATCGTTGGAAAGCTCTTTTCAAGCCCCATCCAACTATTCTATTATTGGACCCTTGCTATGGACCAAACCAAACTAGATTGACTGTTTTCTTAAAATAGCTTTTCAAAAACAGAGAGAAAGAAAAGAATTAAAAACTCAATCGCAACACTAGACTTTCCACATTTTCACTTCATTCGATTATGATTCGACGTGAAAGGTACTCATCACTAGGTTTGGTTTTGGGGAGACACAAATGGGTGTCTACAATTCCCAAGACCCATTCACAAATATGCATGTTACTGGTAATATTAATTCCTTATTCATTTAAAGGTGATAACAGAAACTCTTATCAACATATAGGAAAGCAAGAGATAAAATAGCTTATCAATAACAACTTTACAAGATGAAAGTGGCCTTATAAACAATAGGATTTCCATGTCCTAGAAGCATCTGTTAGCGAGCTCCCCTGTGGCAGGCTTAAGTATAACAAAAGACCAGATGTAGTGAGAATAAGCATATATGATACTCTGAAAGTGGAGACAACCTTGCAAGAAGAACCTGGACACCTAAAAAATGCATCTAATACCATTCATCTCAACATCAGTGACACTTAGAGCGCTGGCCAATTGGCCAGTCACCCTCTCTTTAGTTATTATTTTCTTCTTTTCTTTTCACCGTGTGTGTCAATGTGGCAGTGTTAACTAAGTCAAGTCGCAATAATTTTCCAATCCCAGGGATAAGGTGGTTAACATCGTACATCAACAATCATGGAGGTTGTAGCATTGATTTATATATATTTTTTATTAATCCCTTTATCTCACTAACATACTAATGAGGTTAGCATAATTGGATGAGGGAAAAAACAGGTTAGCTAGCATTATCATTCTTCTTTAGTGTCTCTTTCTCCAAATAAGCACATCCTATCCATTCACATAATATTTACTATATACAATTTTACCACTAAAATCTAAGTGATAGTCGAAAAGGTGTAGTGGAGTAAAGGTGGCCACGGGCCGTGCCGGCACGCAGGCGGCATTAGCCCGGCACGACGCCGGCCCGGCGGCCCACCTGTGGGTCGTGGGTCGTGCCTTGAACCTAAAAATGTAGTTTTAGCACGGGCACGGCGGGCGGCACGGTGGCCGGCACGTGGCACGGGCACGACACGAGGCACGACCCGTGTCAACCAGCCGTTGGAACTAGCCGTTTCCCAACAGCTCTAAAACGGCTAGTTTTTGCCATTTTTCCCACCCAAAATCCCTATAAATACCCTATTTCTTCTTCCAAAATTTTCACAATTCATCAACTCATCTATTCTCTCTTATTCTCTAATTTTCTTATTCTCAAATTCTTAAATCTTACTCTCTTTCTCTATTGTGCAAAGAAAAAAAAATTCCTACTCATAAATTTTACATTTTTACTATTATTAGTCTACTACCAAAAAAAAAAATCTTATATTTACACTCGGGAAATTATAAATTCTGGAAATTATAAGTTCGAAATATTATAAATTTGGGAAAGCAATTGAATTGTCATTGTAAGATCTAACTCAACTTTATTTTAATTTGTTATTGTTGTTGTTGTTGTTGTTGTTGTTGTTGTTGTTGTTGTTGTTGTTGTTGTTGTTGTTGTTGTTGTTGTTGTTGTTGTTGTTGTTGTTGTTTTCTTGGAACAACTTAATTATATAAAAACTACTTTCTGTTTTTATTGTGGATAATTTAGATTGTTAGTGAAAATTATTTTTGAAAACTTAATTTATATAAAAACTACTTACTAATTCTTTTTGTTATTGTTATTATTATTGTTGTTAATTGTTATTATTATTGTTATTGTTAATTTGTATTGTTATTTCTATTATTATTTTTGTTGTTATTATTATTAAATATCATGGCATCAAACCCGAATACTTCCTCCTCCTCTAGAAAAGTCAAGTCAAAACGTAGGGAATCACCAAACCCAAACACTTCAACCCCTAACACCGTTCCTTCCAACATGCCCATTCACTCCCCTAACATGCCCTTTCCAAATACTTCCACCCCTTTCTTTCATCCCCAAACCACGGGAGGGTACGAACAAATGGATGATATGGCTCCTTGGACTATGTCTAGTTCGGGATTTCAACAAACTCAATTCTCACCTCATTTATACGGATCACAACATGAATTTTCTATTCCTATACCCAAGGTAGTCTTCGGGTCGAGTGAACAATCCACCAAAATGCCTAACACCCAAAATCCTAACATATTAGAGTGGTGTACCGAAAAGGAATTTGCTCAAACCAACCGAAAGAGTGAAGTTTGGGCACATTATCAATTAAGTAAAAATTGAACCAAAGCCCGGTGTCGGACTTGTGGTAAAATTCTCTCGGCCGATACCAAGGGAGGGACGGGACACCTTAGTAGACATTCAAAAAAATGTGGCGGACCATCTAATAGTCCAACCCAACCTAAAATTTCTCATTTTCATCCACAAGGCTTCATTTACAATTATGAGAGAGATACGGATGAACTTGGGAGAATGATTGTATATGCCAAACAACCTTTTTGTTTCGTCGAAAATGATGCCTTTAACAGCTACATTAACCAAGCACTGCAACCCAAACACAAAAAAATCTCCAGAAAAACCGTTCGATCTGCTGTCATAAAGAATTATCTAGAGTATAAATTGAAATTTGTAAATGAATTGGCTAATCTTCCTAGTAGATTTTCTTTAACTGTCGATGCCTGGGATAGTGGATACGGACTTCACTATTTATATGTTACTTGTCATTGGTTGGATAATGATTGGTTGTTACAAAAACGCATCATTCACTTTAAAATGCTTGAATACCCTCATACCGGTCTTAACATATCTCATCATTTAATGGAAGCCATTGATGCATATAGTCTTAGGGATAAAATCATTTGTATGACTTTCGATAATGCAACTTCTATGACATATAGTGCAAATTTGGTTAAACCCCAATTGACTGATGTAATATTATTATATGGGGATGCACTTCATGTTAGATGCATTTGTCATGTTCTTAACTTATGTGTGAAGGATGGAACACAAGCAATTGGTCCATTTTATCACAAAATAAGGAATGGTATTATGGCTATTAATAGCTCTAACTTGAGTTATCAAGAATGGAAAGGTTTTTGCAATCAACAAAGGATAAAGACTATAAAAATAGCACCGGATTGTCCAACTAGGTGGAACTCCACCTATGATATGTTGAGTCGGGCCATCGAATACAAGGTTCATTTAACACTTTTTTATAATATGAAATTTCCACAATGTGCTTTACTAGAAGATGATTGGGTTAATTGTGAAACATATATGCAGTTTTTACAATTACTATACAGTATGACACATTATTTTTCTTCTGTATATAATCCTTGTTCCCATTCTTTTCTTAGCAATGCATGTTTAATTACTTGCACAACTTTTTGTCGAACACCGATCACAACATGATTTTCATGGATATCTTCCATCTATGGATGAAAAATGGTATAAATATTAAAATGATATTCCTATGATTTATATTTTTGCTTCTATTTTAGATCCTAGGCAAAAATATGATGACACTTTTTTATTAATTGATATTTATTGTAGTAACATGAATTTTGAAGATGATGTTGAAAAATTTAAAAATAAGGTCACTAATGAGTTGTTCTCTTTATATAGAGTTTATGAAAGTAAATATGGAACCATGTCTCGATTTGCCCCTTCTCAAACATCCAAAAACGTAAGTAAATGGTCCAAAGGTTTATTTGCACAAGTTGCTAACATGATGTCCAAGTTTTCAGGTACGGAATCATCATCAACTAAGAGAACACAAAGCAATGTTTCGAAGTTGCAAATGTACCCAAGTTACGACTTCATGAAAGGCATGGACGATGAAGAGAAGTTTGGCCTCGACATCCTTGATTGGTGGAAATCACAAACTCTAAAACATCCAATTTTGTCGGCAATGGCTCGTGATATTTTTGCTATCCAAGTCTCCTCCGTTGCCTCCAAAAGAGCTTTTAGTGCGTCGTGATGGTTTTAGACGATAGAAGAAAAAGACTAAAACCCGAAACACTTGAAATGTGTGTTTGCTTCAAGGATTGGTTGGATGCCAAAACTCGTTCTCAAGATCGTACTTATGCAAAAAACGACGATGATGATGAAGGAACGTCGACTTCTTTTAGTTCTCATACTTCTCAATCAACTCAATTGGGCGATGAACTTGAACCACAAGGAGATGAAGATGAAGACGAAATAATAATTATATTATTACATATTTACATTATACACTATTGTATAATTTTTGTATTATCGAACTTCGTATTCCGTATAATAAATGAAGTTATTTATACACTATTGTACGATTTTTAATTATAATTAATTCTTTATATTATTGATTTATCATACCGGCTACTGGCATATAATAAAATAAGTTATTCTTCAATTTTTTGTGTTTTCGGATTATCGCACTCGTATTTTTTTTATTATTATATGCATTGTTGTTTTTTATTAAATTAATAAAATTGTTTTTATTTGTTTATATAAACTTAAACATAATTAGATAAATAATTTATATAACCTAAATTAAAATAAAGTTGTTCAAAACAAAATATATTAACATTAACATAAACATAAATTAATCACATTATTTATATAAAATTAAGTTGTACTAAAAAATATATATATATATCGTTTTTTATTTACATTTTTTATTATTTTTTTTATAAAAATAAAAAATTAAAGTGGCACGGTTTGGCCCGCGGCCCGGCACGACACGGCCCGCCAGGCACGTAGGCCGTGCCGTGGACTGGGGTGTGCCAAATTTAGGCACGACACGGCCCGCCGTGGAGCCGGCACGCCACGACCCCCACCGCGGCACGGCCAGGCACGACCCCCATCGCGGCACGGCCAGGCACGGCCCGTTGCCCATGTTTAGTTGTGAGTGAAAGCAAACAGAGACACATTACAATGAGTTTGCAGCTGCAACGGGTGGTGAGGGAAGCTGGTGGGGAAGCAAGGATAATAGGACGAAAAAATGATGACTAGACACTAAAAGAAAAGGTGGTGAGTAGGCAAGGAAGATACTCTGCAGTATTTTGTGACTGTTGTGTTTTGTCAACCACTTAACCCAAACAACATATTACAGTAAAGACATTTACAATCTTTTCCTTCCCTATCTCTTTCTTGATTCCTTCCCCTTTCCTTTTCCCTGAGTGTACTCGATGAGAAGGGTTTGATGGAGTAATACATATCAACCCCTTACTAGTTACTAGAACATAGTAATCCAATAAACACATTAAAAGTCTAATAACAATAGTAGGGTAAAGTAAAACATGTCTGTATTTAAAAGTACCTAAATGAAGGCAAACAATTTGGAGGGTTGAGCAAGGAAAACCAACTCATCTTGGTGCTTCACATGCTAGATTTAAAACACTTTTGGTCCGATCCTAATTTGTAAATGTCAATAACAGTTCACAAGGTGCAATTTTTAAAGTTTCTAGGTTTGTTCCCAAGAATTTAAAGATTAGAACATCACAAATTAGTACTTGATGCCCTGATGCATGGTTTGGTGTTGGATATGAGAATTTATTTAAACCATTTTCACAAAGAAATAAGAAAGCTCAACTTACCATTGAGCAATGAAGAGAGTACACTTCGGAGAAAAACAAATAGGTTTAATAAGTACATAGATATATCAAACCGGTTAGTCCAATTTATTAATCTAATGCCTAAGGTTTTGGAGTCTTAAAAGTTATTGGAAGTAAAACGATTGATATATAAATAACCATCCAAGAAGCAGCAAAATTTTCAACTCAATATTAGTTATAACTTCATAATAGAGTGTCATATACTTCAATAAAAGGTGCATAATAGAAGAAATTCCGAGTAACAATGCAAAGCATGGAGAGACAGAGTGGACAAACAAACATTAACAACAGTTAAGAACAACATATAACTGGATACCACCAGGTAAAGTCACTGAAGAAAGCATAAGAACAACATCTTGGTTTAAATGGATCTCAACTCTCCACCGTTTTTGAGCAACCTGACATTCATTTTCAAATTTAGCTAACATTTCATATTCATCAAAACTTCGAAAAAAATATAATGAGCAGATATCAAGTAGAATAACATGTCATAGTTCAAAAACGAAATAAATTGCATATAAATTACAAGCCATTAATTCCACTACAAACCATCATATCCCCTCTTTTCACAAGACTTGTTAGATTTTCTCAAAATACACTTTATAAAAATCAATTTTTATAGTTTTTGCCTATCGATATTTTTCATGTTGGCAAACGCGCCTAAAGAAACATGTCAACTAAAATGAAATGGAAGAAGTACTACGTATAGGTTATACTCCATACCATCTAAGTTTAATTCATAGCACTAAGCTAGCAAAATACAACAATTACAAATTATTTCAACAACTATATGTTCATTTGATCATACACTTAACAAATAAATTTATAGCATTAATGTAATACCTCGTATTTTTATACGTATTTTATTTAAAATAAGTATTTTGAGAAGTATTTAAATAAATTAAAATGTTTTATTTAAAGTATTTTAATTATTCATTTTAATAAGTTTAGAAATATTTTATAAAAGGAAAGTTTATTTAATTAATTATTTTATATAAGTTGGGGTTTAATTTAAGAAAGTTTTATTTTTGTAAAGTTTATTAGGGAAGGGATTAAGAAAGATTAAAAAAGGAAAGTTTAGGGAGAAGGGTTTCTAGAAAAAGGGTATAAATATTCAACACTTGAGGCAAATCAAACTTTGCCCAGAATGAAAATAACCCAAGGTAAACTTCTCTTCCTTTCTCCTTATTTTTCTTTTCCTTTTCCTTTCTCTTTTTCCCCCTTCCCCTTCTCGACCTCATCCTCACTGCCGGCCACCACCACCACCACCAGTGGGCCGCCGGCCACCAGCAGCACCAGCCACCGGCAACAGGCAACCACCGACGCTGGTAGCAGCCGTGGTGGCTGTCGGCTGCCCCCCTTTTCGAACAAAAAAAATTAAATCTTTTTGTTTTAAAATTATTTTAATGATAGATCTAATTATTGATTATGAGTTTTGTGATTTGATTTTGATGTTTGATTATGAGTATCATGTAAAATTTTCAGATTTTATTTTTAATTGAAAAACCCCAATTTTTGAAACCATAGGTTCTTGATTTATAAATTATTAAAGGGTTATGATATATAATGGTTTAAACCTTTGATTAAAGTGTTTTAAGGCTTAATTACAACAAGTTTTAATTAAAATAAAGTGCTAGAATTTTTGGTAGATAATTTAAAATCAAGTTTCTTTAAGTAATTTTAATTACCCATTAATTGGGATTAAAGTATGATATTTTAAATATAATTTCAGCTTGTTTTAATTAAATTATGAGGGGTTTTATAATAGTATATATTTCTGGAAATTTGTGTTGAGAGGATTTGAATACTCTTCCATGATTTTAAATTGTAGGAGACTTTGAAGTGAGTGATTTCTATTAGTCGTGACAATTTTATGATCGTATACAATGTACGTTTGCGTACTTAGCATAATTTTATTGATGTAGTAGCATGCTAAAGGTGTTTAATTGATTACGAGTAGTATCATGCTAGATTTGGAATGGAAATTATGATTTGGTTGTTGTTGGTGATTGAATTATGAAGCATGATTTATTTGTGATGGATTTATGGATGGAAAATTATAGTTTGGAATATTGTTTATGAACCACACTTTTATTTATGGCATGTTAGAGAGCATGTTTAATAAAACTAAATGTTTAATTTGGCTTGGAATATTAAAAGGAAATTTTATTATGGTTCATATAATTTTTATTGATGCTTTAAGCATGGGAAAGGAGCTATGTAAGTGTCTAACTACATGAGGAATAAATTATATGTTGGTACCTTAATGCACTTAAGGTGTTTTTAACACCGAGGGATAGGATTTGTGGCGCTTTATGCGTTTAAGGTGTCATTGGCACCGAGGTAGATTTAAAAAGGGTTCAACATTAAATTTTATGCGGTCACTAATTATTCAAGAATTAAATTGGTATGTTTGATTGTTTGAATAATTATTGTTGATTGAATGATTATGATTTGAGAGTCATAACTAAGTTTAATAATATGTAAATAACGTAAAGTGAAAGAGATTACGCACCAAAACTCTTAGAACGTATATACCTTGAGTATGAACATATGAGGGGAGTTATGGGGTTTTATATTTAACCATAGCTTCTATTGGAGTACAGGGCGTTGTACATTCCTTTTATTATTATTATTATTATTATTATTATTATTATTATTATTATTATTATTATTATTATTATTATTATTATTATTATTATTATTATTATTATTATTATTATTATTGTTATGCGCAGGAATTCCGCCACTTACGAGTGGTTATTTATGCTGACACGGTTAGCTCCCGTGTCAGTAACCTTAATTTATTAGGGGAGGTTAGATGGAAACCCGTTCGATGCATAATCAACGCTATATAATTTATGTAGTTGTCTAGTTGAGAAGTTTTGTTGAGTGTTGCATGCTTGAAAAATAGGTGCAACAAGGGAAGTTGTGTGTTGATAGGTAAATGCATGTTAGTGTCTTAATTACGCTTATGTACTCAGCTTTGCTAATTGTGTGTTTTGTGTGTTTATTGGCCTTGTCTTTATCTTGGCCCTATGATGACCCATTTTTAATGGAGAGTAGTGGAAACAAGTAGAGATAAGCTTTTTAGGTGATGAACCATATTCATGAATGGGAATGAGTGAAGAGTGAATCATGCTAGTTTTTATAAGTATATGATGTGTTTAATGCTTTAATTATTTATGATATTATTATGCATGACTAACACAAAAGTTTTAAAGTTGGTTTGGTTTTAATAAAGGCCTATAATGGTTCCAAGTTGTAGGTTGATTTTATTTTACTTCGTTTGACTTTACTTTCGTTGGTTGACTTTTCAAGTTGACTTGTTTTGAATGGTTTTGAAATTTGTCATCCGCTGTGTGTCTTTGATAGTTGCATGAGTCGTTTTCACGGTGGCAGTAATATCTTAGATATTCCAATTTAAAGTTTTAAACAAGGCAAACTAGGTATTGAGAAAGAAATTTCTAGGGTGTTACAATTAAACCAACAATAAGCAGCTAATTAAAACTGACAACATATCATCAAATTGACAAATTCTCATGCATATACCTCAACAACTCGTCCGACAATGATATCTCCCGCATCAGGCTTATACTTACAGCAGTCAATTCATTAAAATAACTTAAAAAACAACTTTCAAGCATGAAAACAACAGAATTTCTCAAACTTATTGTATTGGCGAACCTGGATAGCAAAGAGCGAACAATAACAAGTTTATCAACTCGATCGACAGGACCACACACAGTTGCAACCACTTCGCCGTCAAGTTCCAATGTTCCATGTCCCTTTCAAAACAAAAAAAAGTGATGATTAAACATTTTCTACTCACGTTTTATATCAACTGATTTTTCACCACATACGCTTAAGTTTTTTGTTTATTCACCATATAACCATGAAGATTTTTAAATTCACCATATACCCCTGAGTTGCTACAAAAATCACCATATACCCTTAATGACAACGAGATGAGTGGAATTGGTTAATTATGTATTGAAACTACGTTAGATCTCTCCCCCAGTCCCCTGAAACCACTATTCTCCTTTCTTCAATCCTTGATACCACTCCAAGTCTCCATAATCATATTTGTATGATTCATATTGAGGATGAAAAAACAAAATTTGAGGTGATTTTGGGGGTGGAAACAAGAAATGGGAGTGGTTTCGGAAGTAAGGGAATGTATTTAAGGTGGTTTCGGGTCATAGTTAACCCTAATAACTGACGAAGTTAACAATCATTAATCATTAAGGGTATACAATGATTTTTTGTGAAAACTTGGGGGTATACGATGAATTTACAAAAGTTCATGGATATATGGTGAATAAACAAGAAACTTATGGGTATATGGTGAAAAAATTGTTATATCAAATCGTTGCAAATAATATGAAACAGATGTATTATATGTAAATAAGGGATTCGAGAAAAGAATACTTGAGGATATTATCTTCATTGTTGACAGAAATAGTGTCAGCAACGGTGACTGAAGCGTTGGCAGCGGATTTGGAGGAGAGAGATTGGAGTTTTTCTAGGGCTCTTTGAAGTCGAATCTTTTGGGTTTGAGTCAATGACAATTCTATTTCTCTCATTTTCTTCTTCGGTTATTGTTGTTATGAGAGTAGCTTTTACTTCTGCATTTGTTTGATTCTTTCTTTGAATTTAGTTATAGAGAATTGCTTTAATCCTTAAACCCTAGCTCAGATTTTGCATACTTGTCGTTGAAGCCCGCCTTATGTCTTGTAATTTATCATTATTCGACCTTCTTGCCAGCTTGAGGTATGGGAAGCTTGTTATTATCGATCAAACATTGGATGGCCTCCTTCGGCTTCCAACAACTCTCGGTAGTATGCCCTCTACCTTGATGGTACTTGTAATGAGCGTTAGAATCCCAGTTAGGTGACCTGTTTTTGGGTGCTGGATCTTAAAGAGGTCCAATAGGAGTGATGAGTCCTTTGGCATGGAGTCGATCAAAAGCGATATCGTAGTTCATCCCAATAGGGGTGAATTCTTTCCTTAGTTGCTTCTTAGGTCTTTGGTTATCCATGGCTAAGACTTTGTTAAGGTCAAAGGTGCTAACATTGTTGCTAGAGTAGGTGTTTTCGGAAGAAGAAGGATTGTCGTTCTTTTTTCCTTTCCATCCGCTGTTTTTACTATGGTTAGTAGCTTTTTGTTTTGCAAGGTCATCTTCAATGTCAAAACCTATGCCATAGATAGCTTTGAAAGTGTTTAAATTGCATTGATATTTTAGGTGCCTTTGGTATTTGTCTTGGAGATTCTTAATGAACATCCTCACTGGTTCCTTTTCAGTAGGAGTTTCAACCATCTTAGTAGAAGTCTCCCTCCACTTGTTGAATAAATAAGTAAATCCTTCGTTCTCCTTTTGCTTTAACATTTCAAGTTCTCTATGATCAGTTTCAACCTAAACGTTGCACTTGTATTTATTTATGAAAGCATTTATTATGCCATCCCAAGAAGAGGTTTTCTCCTTTTCAAGGGAAAAGAACCATTGTTGAAAAACGGTTTCTAGAGATAGCGAGAACAAAGCATGGAAAACCTTCCTGTCAATCCCCTTAATGTTCATTATAGTTTCAAAGGCTATTAAGTGAAAGTAGGGTTTGTCAGTTGGTTTGAATTTAGGGATGTCATTGGCATTGAACTTCTCCGGAAGAATTTCCTTGTCCACCGAGACCTCTTGTGAGCTAATCCCCTAGAACTTATAGTCATTGGAGAGCTTGCTCAAGCTTTCCTCCATTCTCTCCATCTGTTGTTGTTTCGCAGGGTCATTAACTTGAAGAGCAAGGGTCTTCATCATCTCGGTTAGATTGTTCATGTTTTTCCTTAACTCATCAACTTCTTGTTGGGAAGCCATTAGTACGAACTTTTTCCTGTGTCTGATGGACTTATCGAAGAGTAGAACTTGAACAAAGGTGTGTTGTCCTTGATTAAGCGTCCTTCTCTTCTTGACCAAATACTGTGGAAAGGGGAGTCATGGATGTTTATTATTAATTATTTGAATCTAACTCGATTAAACATGCATATATGGGAAAAGATCATGGAAAAATGAGGAGAATAATATGTATGGAGAAAGCATGTAGGAAGAAGGTGATGTAGATGGAGAGATGTGGAAGAATTTAGGAATAGCGTGGACCCCCAATTCAAATGACGGAAAGAAAGACTCATGCATGAACTTAAGACATGGTCATGAAGTGAAAATAGTATGTACAAAGTGTGTGAATACTTATGAGTGTAAGTGATATGTTCAAGACTCGTGTCATGACCATGTGACTAGACTCAAACAAAGACTAAGTAAAGACTTCACGTATGTGCACTAAAATGGACTGGCTGTAGTATTTTAGTTATAACTTTTAATATGTGAATCTGAATTGAACGAAACCAATGCCAAATGAAAGATATAACTCGGGGATACAAATTAATAGGTTGTAACACTTGTAAATCTTCCTAGAACTCTGGCTATAATCAAAACAAGTTGATGCTTTTGAAGTATATGGGAATAAAAATTCGGGTTAACTCAAAGGAACTATTACTCGATTATATATATATATTTATTAGCTCAAATTAATTAATCAATTGATTAAGCAAAGTCTTTAAGTCATTGGTTAGCTTATTTAAGCATATTTATAATCATAAGTTAAACCATACGGTTAGTTTCATCACATAAAAATATGGACAAGTAAATAATGCACAAGTAGTTAAATAGTTACAACATGATGCAATGAGTTTGCAACCTAATCATGGCTCTAGTTCTTTAAAGTTCAAGGATAAGGGTAGTCAAAATACGGTCCATTGTTATGAGTCCGAATGCATCGCGCGGAAGCCTTACCTTTGGAAGGGTTGGCGCGTATGGATGGGACCCCGCAAGTTAAACTTGCTTCCATGGTTTGGTGAATTCACAAACTCGGATGTACCATTCGTTGCAATGAGTGTTCGATTGGGTAGATGGAGCGTTAATTCCCAGAGGGTTATAGCCATATGTAGAACACATATGGGTTCAGAAAAGTGAGAAAAACTCAATCAGGAATTAAAATCGAGCAAACATTACTAGAACTGATCAAAGAAATAAGGTAGATTTCTGGCTCGGTATTGGAAGAACTTAGCGAGAGACAACAAGGACCGTCGCGAGACAATGATCCTGTCGCCACGCAACATTGCTGTCGCACAGCGGAAGTGCCATCGCACTACGACGGACACTGTTTTCTTAGCACCAGTTCCTACATGCCTCATCAGCTTTATGTTCTTAGAATTTTCCAGTTTTTTGTAGCGTTATTTTGATTCTATTTGTGAAAGATATTTCCAAAATTTCCTACGTGTAAAAATCCTATGTTTTTGATGCATTACGGATGGTCTATCCAATGCGGACCTTTTTATACGTATGCCAATAATGTCAATCAAAATTACGCACATGAATACTTAGAACTTTTTGAGTCTCATCCACTCATTCTAAATTATTGCCAAAATAAATTTTAGGAATTAAAATAGAAATTCTCCCCTGTGGAGTCGCCAAAAAAATGTAAGGAATATTTCAAGCATCCCACAATTGAGCTCCACTGTGATCATACATTTAAGTATGGTGGCGTCCAAAGGGAAGAAAACTAGAATAAAAGAGTCGCCAACAAGTTTTAGGAACTTATAAACCGTTCACATGGTTAAGGTTACACCCCTTCACGATCCATGAGATCGCTAACTTTATAATGGTCTGAAACCATGACTGGATATTCGGGGATGAAGGTACAAATCCAACCTAAAAGAGATTATACCTGCCCTAAAAATAGGTCTATACATTATTCTTCTCATATTCATGTGTTTCTGACTAACATACAATCAATATATTACTCCTAAACCTATTAAATCTATGTTGGTTGAATGTTAATGCACAAATAAATCTATTATTAGCGATCACTTGAATTATAATCATATTAGCCTAAACAAAATTATTAATTATCTTATTAAGCGTGATTAAAAGAACAAATTCCCTTTAAACCTACAAGAGAGGGCGTGATCAAGCAATAACAATACTATATAAAGCAACAATATAACAACAATCATCATCATCATAATATTCTCATCAAAGCATAATATTACTAGCAAGATCCTAGGCATGATACTAACAAGATTAATAACAAATCCTAACATGTCACTAAATAATAAATATCAAAGCTTTATCCCTAACATGATACTAATATGATAGAAGAAATAGAAAGCAACCTATGATATTAGAAACATACATGATATTAGAAATATTAGTTATTACCCTAAACATGATACTAGGAATCATAAAGACATCCTAACATGATACTAGGAATTAAAATAATCTAAGCGTGCTTTTTAAATAAATAGAGAAATAAAAGCTACTTACTTTGTTGCCTCGTATCTCTTTCTATCAAAACAATACACACGTTAGTAACTTCAAGGAAAATATTAAATAATAAATTTAATCAAAGAATTGAAATAAGATTTAGGACCAAACCCTCAGAAATTATCAACCTTACACGTCTAGGGAGAAAGCAACTTTGAACTTGGTTAGGTGTGTCTAAGTCTCGTGAATGCGGTGTTTTTAATTGAAAAGGGAAGACTTAGAAAGAGGGAGAAAGAAAAACCTATTGTTTGAGAGAGAAGAAAATAGAATCAGATGATTGTTGATGATTTAAATACAGAGAATATCGACCCTATTTATAGAAAAAATAGTCTGGAAACAATAGAAAAGAGTTAGAAATTGAATTGATATAAAATTGGTTCCAGCGCGGCGTGACAGAGCTATCACGGCGCGACGAGACAGTTTTTTGCGGATTTTGTTTTTATCATAACTTTTGATCTAGAAGTTGAAATAAGTCATATAATATGTCGTTGGAAAGCTCTCTGTTAAATTTCGAAACAACATGAATGGGACTGATTAACCCGAATAAGGAGGAAGAGAATTTGGTATAAAAACTAGGCTTTGGAGCTTCCACACTAAAACCAATTGGCAATAGTAGGAGTAACTCCTCTACCTTATAAAGTGGAACCACCTCTCCTCTTTCTCCAACATGGGACACTCACAAGTGGGCTACAATGGGTTTTAACACTCTCAAAGTCACTTTCCAATCCAATTAGTTACAGATTAAAATCTTTTGTAGAATATAAGTTATGGACGAAATAGCGAGACAGTGTCTGTTTTGGATAGACTTTCGTATTTCTTTCTTATCTCTTTTCGTTATAGCTTAGAATTAATATTATAATAAGATTATTGGAAAGATAATTTCAAGATATATCCAACCATATAAGATTTGTATAAAGATTACGAGGCACAAAAATAATATCTGACTGTCTTTGAACTTCTTTGAATTCGAATAGAATTAGGACTTAAGAAAGGAAAGTTTTTATTCAATTTCAAATTATTAAATCTTATCTTTTCAAAAAGAATAATTAAGATCTTTTAGAAACTTATAGAAGCTTCTAATTAATCCTAATTAGTTTAGGAATGGGATTAAACCTTTGGACCCTCCACATGATCATTGGGTCGTAGGTAAAATCCGGTTTGGGCCCAGTTTTTTTATTTTGGCCATAACTTCCTCATTATTCATCGAAATTGGAC